GTGGTTATGGGGTACCGTCTCTAGCTTGACTAAGAGCTACACAAACTGTGGGACCATTGGTTACCCTGAGAGGGTTCCCTGCTTTCTGTTACTAGTCTGCAGTCTTCAATGGGAGATCAAAGCCAGGAGAAGAGTTTGAGAAGAATAGGAGCCTTAACTGGGGACAGAACAGGCAGAAACAGAAAAGCGAAAGGAAGGGGAACGACCCTAGGTCTGGAGGCTGGGAGATAAGGGGAGGTACTCAGCTCCTGCTGTCTGTTCCCCAAGCATCCTGGGGGCAGAGCCATGCAAACTGATTCAGACAGAGCTGTTTGGCAATGGGAAAAGTTCATGCTTCTTAAGGCCTGAGTTGGACTCTGTTTGGGATATTATTGTCTTGGTATTATAAAATCAATAGCCGTCACCCAGGGTCTATGATTACAAGTTCCAGGCAACCTGAGCCAGACGTAAGCCCTCAATGCTTTAGGCATCAAGAAGCATACAAAAAGGAGGAAAAGACTCCTGTATTTAAAGCCGCCCAATGCAATTAGCATCCCTCTTCTCTTAGGTCCCTGGATGGGCTGGGTTTGTGTCTGGAAATTAGTGATGAGTGAAGTTCAGAGTGTCTGGTGGTTCATTTGGAATAGCTTATGCTATTTAATTTTATAGCCCATCACTCATGCAGACATTGCTCGGGGCACTTATTTTGTAGCAGTAGGAAATGTTAGGAGGAGGAGGGAGCTAATGGGGGAGGTGAAAGGAAAGGACTTGGAGAGGGCTGAGTGTTGAAAGCAAGCGTATGTGGACAGCGTGCATGGGGAGGGCTGCTCAAGTGCCACTGTGGGCACATCGTCAAGAAAGGAAGATTTAGCAGCAGTTCAGAACAGGAGGTGGATCACAAACAAGAACAACAAACATCTACCATGGCTGCAATTCTAAGTTATATTTTGAGGTCTGCCGAGACTGGATTACATACTTTGGGCTCTCTGATTTCCTGCCAAGGACAAGGTCAAGGGTGTGACAATAAGGAGCTGGCAGACACCTGATGAAAGGGGAGCTCATCCCGTCCAGAAGTCCTCACGTCCCTCCCTCTCCTGGCACAGTTTCTCCCAGTGTCCCTGCTGGGAGAGCCTCCTGCAGGTCTGACCTCGAACCGGGCTGGGCTGCAACCAAAGGCATGCCCGTCCTTCATTCACCTCTGGATATGCTTCCAGCAGCCATCCTGTGTGGCTTGAAGCCAACTAGGAGTCTATTCTGCTGCTGGTGAACCAATATCCACCACAGATGGGTAGGAAAACTGAAGCTTGGGGCAGTTTAGTGGGTTATATTCAAGACCAGAGGCAGCTAATTAGAAAAGAGAGCTGAGAGACATTCATATCTATCCAGGCTCAACTGAACTTGGGGCATCCATCGCCATCTTGCTTTCACATCGCGTTAAGGGTTAAACCCTGAGATAGGCAGCCAGTCCCAGTTATGCAGTATGACCCAATAGGACAAGGACAGGGTCTGACACCAAGCTGACTTTCCCAGCACTGTGACTTGGGCAGGTCACCATGGTCACTGGGCTGGGATTTCCTCATTATAAGAGCCTCAGTATGACCACAGTGTTGCTTGTAGTTGTATATGGAAAGTGCTTGCTGTAGTGCCTGGCCACTGTGTACCCACAACACCTTGTCCCTACCTCCTAAGCAGGACAGCCTCCTTGGTCATCGGGGCTAGGGTGGGAGGCCCAGGAGGGTCAGCATTCAGAAGTATCCTAGGGGGCCTGCCTCTCATCTCAGAGAAGCTAGAAACAGGATGGCAATTGGAGGCAGAGCAAAAAAGCCCATCAAGCCTTGATTCTTCCCCCACGAGGGCTATAAGCTCTTCCTTTATCTGAAACATCTTCCCATTTCCATCCTAGAAATGCTGACATGTAGCCAATAAGCCCGTTCATATGATATGCACGCTCTCAATTTGGCTGATGTGAGGGGTCTGACTAAGCCTTGAGCTTTGATGTGCCCCATCTGTCACTGGGACAGCAATAACCCTCTGTCCCAACCAGCTCAGCAGGATCGGGGCCTGGGGTGGCCATTCTTGGGCCCAGGATGCACAAGTCAGCAGAACCGCAGCTGGGGATCCTGCAGCCTTGGGTGTGGGAAACTGAGTACTCCCTGGCCCTGCCCGGCAGTTCCCCGACTCGTCCTTTCCTTAGGCCTGCAGGTGCTGCTGCCCGAGTACCTGCGGGAGCGCTTCGTGACCGCTGCGCTCAGCTACATCACGTGCAGCTCTGAGGGCGAGCTCATCTGCAAGGAGAATGACTGTTGGTGCAAGTGCAGCCCCACCTTCCCAGAATGCAACTGTCCTGACGCTGACATCCAGGCCATGGAGGACAGCCTGCTGCAGATCCAGGACTCCTGGGCGACTCACAGCCAGCAGTTTGAGGAGTCAGGTGAGCAGTCAGTCAGCCCAGATTTCCTCCCTGTCAATGGGAGGCGGCTGAGAGGTACGGGATAAGAACCCGGGGCGCTCAGCTTGGCTCCTGGCTCAGCCACTTAACTGGCTGGGTGACCTCCAGCAGGTTATATGACCACCCCAAGTCTGAACTCATTTTCTTTTTTTGTATATGCAAACAGACCTAATACCTACCAAAGTGATGCGTTTCAAGGACTTAATAAGCTAAGGTAAATATAATTGAGGCCATAGGCCTTGTCTGTCTTGTTTGCCACAGATTCCACGGTGCCTGCACATAAGGTGCACAGTGAATATTTGTTGAATGAATGAGGCACACGGCATGTTTCTAGGAGGCACCTAGTACATGCTGGTGATTGCTTATTGCAGGTATAACTGATATCAATGTCACCTTGAGGCTAAGATTCTTATTCTGTATTATGGCTTGAATGTTTGTATCCCCTCAAGTTCATATGTGGAAAATCTGATGCCCAAGGTGATGGTATTAGGAGGTGGGGACTTTGGGATTTGATTAGGTCATAAGGGCCGAGCCCTCATGAACGGGATCAGTGCTCATATAAAAGAGGCCCCAGAGAGATCCCTTACCTCTTCCAACATGTGAGGACCCAGCAAGAATTTTGGCCCCAGAAGAGGGCCTTCACCAGACCCTGACAGCAGCCTCCTGACCCTGGACTTCCGGCCTCTGAAACTACATTTCTGTTGTTTACAAGCCACCCAGTCTGTGGTGTTTTGTCATAACATCTTGGACAGACCTAACACACTCTATTACTGATCCTTTGTATAACTAACTTTGGTTTAGCCCTGAAGCTCCTCAGTGCCTCCATTTCTTCATCTGTAAATGAGGGAAAATGATAATAATAGGTGGGTGGATGGCTCATATGGAGCAATGTAGATAAAGTATAAAGAACTCTGCATGATATACTCATACATTTCAATATTAAATGAATAATAGTTAATATGGATATATCTCAAAAAAAACAATACTGGATAAAACAAAGCAAATGAAAAAGGTTATGTATTATATATACATATTTGTATTTAAATAACATTTATATGTAATACTGTAATAACATATTAAATATAATACATATTTAGTACTATTTATTTGATGCTTAAAACATACTAGCCAATACTTAATATTTTTATGGATATATTTTTAGAAAACGTTAAAAAATATATGATAGTAATAAAACATTCAAGAGAGTAGTTAACGTCTAGATAAAGATGGAGGGGGAAGTTTAGGGCCTTCAAGTATATTTGCTTTGCCATATTTCTTTTAAAAAAAATCTGAATTCAATATGGCAAAACGGCAAACTCTAGGTGGTGGGCACATGGGAGTTTATCTTGTTATTCTCTGGGCTGTTTTGTATACCTAAGTGTTTCATAAAAAGAACTATGCACACACTACTGGATGTTAATGTCATTACTAGGTGTGATTTTTCCAGTCATCTGGGTGGGGGATGAAGAACCAGGGACCTGAGAAATCAGAATGAGCTGAGGCCCCAGGCATTGCCATCTCAGGTCTTAAACAAGGCATTCAGTTGCTAAGGAGAGTATCATATTCCAACCCCCACAGCTGCATTGGACCAATGGTGGTGGGATGTGTTAGGTAGTGCTCGAGTATGTGGGAAAGGACTTTGGGCTTTCAGCACTATGGATTACTGCCAGTGAGTGAAGGAGGACTGTCCAGACCCCCATCAGGAGACGTGATGGCTGCAGGTTCCAGGTAAAAGCAGGTCCATAGACAGAGATCTGAGCATGAATTCAGAAAACACATTGTGCCCAGGAAGCTCTGAGGAGGACTCAGACTTGCAGTAGGAGCTAAGAACCAGAAAGCACATTGCTTCCGGGTTAGTTTCAAGAAAGAATGGGTGTCTGGCCAATAGGTAAATCTCAAAAGAGAGGAAAGGTGTCCTAGAGTCAGAGAGAAGGACATGGAGGGAAGAGGCTGGTCTCAGGGACTGAAAGGCTTCTAAGAAGACTTCTGAGCGGGGTGCTCCCTCTTCTGTGTCTGCATTTGCCAGTCTCGTCCGCCCGCACCTTCATGAGTGCCTCACACCTTCCCTAAGGGTGCGGTGGTGTGATTGAAGAAGACTGTGCATGAATTATAAGGCGGTATAAAGGGCAAGAGAGATGCATCCCAAGGTCACTGGCCCTGTGGGTGGTGACAGAGATGTGTTTTGAAATTCAGAAGCATATTAGAAACAGGAAGGATGGGAAAGAATCCATATCTTAAGGTATGTCAATCATCTCTGAATAAGGCTGTTCGAAAAGAAAGAAAGAAAAGGGCCCGGGAGGGTGGACGTGAAGCCTCCTTCCTCATACAGTGACTGAAGGGCGGGCTGGGTCTGGGGGGAGGGGGGAGGTCCTCCTGATGGGCACCCATCCAGGTGCCCCTCAGCTCAGCTCTCGTGTTCTTACCCACAGAGGAATTCCAGGCCCTGCTGAAGCGGCTGCCAGACGACAGGTTCCTGAACTCCACAGCCATCTCCCAGTTCTGGGCCATGGACACCAGCCTCCAGCACCGCTACCAGCAGCTGGGAGCCAGCTTGAAAGTGCTGTTCAAGAAGACCCATCGGATCGTCCGCCGGCTCTTCAACCTCTGCAAACGTTGCCACCGGCAGCCCCGCTTCCGCCTGCCCAAGGAGAGGTGAGCACCCCAGATGCCCGAGCCAGAGCACGTCACCCATGACAGCCACTGAGGCCGGGGAGGACCCCTGTCCAACACAGCAGAGCTGGGAATGCTGACGCACACACGGCCTGTTAGAGTCTCCTATTATCTTGACATACTTGCGTGTCATTCTCAGTTATGAGTTGTATCTGAAGTGAGAGAGAGAGAGAAAAAAAAAACAGAGAGGCTAATTTTACTTTTATATACATTATAGTCGATTCGAATGTTATTCTAATAATCCTCTAATTCTCACTCATTTCTATTTTAGTAAGTCTTTTAGGAAAGAAAAGGGTGGAGTTAAAGCTTTTAGACCAATTGCGTATGATGAGAAACACACACAATAGATTGTTTCCAACAAGTGACTCTGCTCTGAGTCATAGGAGGGAAGCGAACTGAGGGCCTGTGCCCTCGGGAACAGAGTGGGGCTGGATTGTCACAGGCCCTCATGCATCCGTCCGCTCATTCACACGTGCATCCAACAAGCCTTTATTAAGTCCACCTCGCATGTCCTAATATTAAGCAGTGAGGGATATTTGTTCATTGAGAAGATATAATAAATATACAGGAACATCAAAATTATAAAATTATTACATGGCAGCCACTTAAAAGCATGTTCGTGGACCGTAAATCAAAGGCATGGTCTAATAATAGTAAAGGTCAGAGAGAAAAGCCACCCAGGAGAAGGACCTCTTGGCCAGATTGTGTGGGAGGAAATGGAAGTGGGCTGGTACGTGTGAGCCAGAGCATTCCAGGAGGGGGCGCTGCCCTCACAGCAACCCAGGGGTGCACTTCTAACTGAGGCACAGGTAACGAGGGACATATGAGTGAGAGGACAGACCGGCAAGGGCATTTGAGAAAGGTTCTTTTTTTTTTTTTTTTCCCCAACACATAGTTAGGAAATGCTTACCAGGCACCAGGAACAATCCTAGTTTCTGAGAATACGTTGGGGAATAATGCAGGGTCCCTGCTTTCACGGCATATGCAGGGAAGCCATCTCTGAACAGGTCAACAATAAATAAACACAATCCATTTTGATAATGAACATTGCTGTGAATCACATCAAAGCAGGGTGATGTGACAGAGAGGGACTGGGCGGTGCTTTGGACAGGGGAGTAGCTGAAGACCTCTTTGAGGGATGTATCATAAGAGCTGAAGTCTAAACCTTAAGAGGGAGCCAGCCATAGAAAAGTCCTATCCTTGGTGGGAGGGTTCTAGAAAGGACAGAGACTGTGAAGGGGGAAAGAGGTTGGCACGACACTGGAAAGTTTGGAGAGCCAGTTGTTGGAAGATCTTATTTAAGAGGCTGAAAACTAGATTGGATACGAAAGGCGCTGCAGATCTTCTGTAGGCTTTTGAATAAGGGAATGAGGTGGTACTTTGGAGGGAGGAAGTAACTTGTTTGGTTATCCCGAAGTGGTAAAGTAGGGTTTCTGTCATTCAGAGAGCCTGGGGCTTTTATCTTCCTTATCACCTATTAGTCAAATCTCCTGCCACCCTCAGGAAGCAGCAGTGTGTGGCTTCCTATGACTCTTGCTTCATTTTTATCCCCCCCTCGCAAAGGTCTTTGTCCTACTGGTGGAACCGTATCCAGTCCCTCCTCTACTGTGGAGAGAGCACCTTCCCTGGCACCTTCCTGGAACAGAGCCACAGCTGCACCTGCCCCTACGACCAGTCCTCCTGCCAGGGCCCCATCCCTTGTGCCTTGGGCGAAGGGCCCGCCTGTGCCCACTGTGCCCCAGACAACAGCACACGCTGTGGGAGCTGCAACCCAGGCTACGTGCTCGCCCAGGGCTTGTGCCGCCCCGAGGTGGCCGAGTCGCTGGAGAACTTTCTGGGGCTGGAGACAGACCTGCAGGACCTGGAGCTGAAGTACCTGCTGCAGAAGTGGGACAGCCGCATCGAGGTGCACTCCATCTTCATCAGCAATGACATGCGCCTGGGCAGCTGGTTCGACCCTTCCTGGAGGAAACGCATGCTGCTCACCCTGAAGAGCAACAAGTACAAGCCCGGGCTGGTGCACGTGATGCTGGCCCTGTCCCTGCAGATCTGCCTCACCAAGAACAGCACCCTGGAGCCTGTCATGGCCATCTATGTCAACCCCTTTGGGGGCAGCCACTCTGAGAGCTGGTTCATGCCCGTGAACGAGGGCAATTTCCCAGACTGGGAAAGGACTAATGTGGATGCTGCTGCCCAGTGCCAAAACTGGACTATTACCTTGGGCAACAGGTGGAAGACCTTCTTTGAGACAGTCCATGTTTACCTACGGAGCCGAATCAAGTCCCTGGACGACAGCTCCAATGAGACGATCTACTACGAGCCTCTGGAGATGACCGATCCCTCCAAGAACTTGGGCTACATGAAAATCAACACGTTGCAGGTCTTTGGCTACAGCCTGCCCT